AGAAAGACTCAAACAGATTGAAGGGTCGTCAACACTAGTAGGTGAAGTGAAGTGCAGACAGATAGTCGGGGACTGGTCTGCACACGCTTACTCTTAGCCAATCAGAGAGCAGCTCCATCCAAGAGCCTGACCTTACAACAGATGTCAGCAGATTACAGTCTCCTAAGCATCAACAGAAACAGACTAAGGGATTGTTATGCCCTGTAAAACCACAAACACAGACACACATGCTCTGTCTCCCTCATCCTCTGTCTCTCTCTCACTCTCTCCCTCCTATGTGCTCCTAAACCTACATGTTTTCTTCTAACCGTAGTGCACTCTGGCAAACTCACAATTTCAGATTACTGTTGTTCTTAAAAATGATGTTACTTGGGTGTATTTGCCAGTTAATGGTCACACCTCTCCCCTCCTCCAATGCCTCCGCTCTGCAGTTGCGGCTGAGCTGACAGAAAGCACCGCTGTACGCGCGCAGGGCCTGGGCATGGAATGAGTTTAAAGTCACCGTGAGGGCTGTTAATCGCCTGCAGGAGGGCTGCCTGCTCCGCGGGATAATCCCAAGGAGCCAAAGATGCCCAGAATCGCCCTGGGGGGGCCTATTTTGCAAGCCCAGAGAGAAAGACAGCATTTAATTGACTTGTGCTAAACAATCACAGCTCCACAAGGCCATCTGATAACTTATTACAGTGGTTTCTTAGATTTGCTCTCTTTGTTGATTCTTTTCTTTCCATTTGACACTTGATACAGAAAAAAAAAAAGACAAAAAAAATGTTTTTCCCCAGTTCCACTTCACCCACTCGGGATCATGTGCCAACACGCTAAGACGCCCTGAGGGCTTCAGGGATTACAGCTCCTGGTTTTGCCCGGAGATGATCAACTGATGCAGCACACGCCGTCTGCAGAAGGCTGGGTGGGCGCGATGGTAAAGGCATTCCACGACAGTGTGATAATATGACAGCTACGGAAGCACTGCATTGTGGGAGCCCGTGGACTGGATGGGCATGTTCCTGATGCCTTATTGGGCTTTTGTGAGCAGAAAGCAAAACGCTTATCAGCTTTTAGATATGCCTGAGATTAAAAAACAACCTTATTTTTCTATTTATGTGGCTCATATATAATGTTATTACAATTTGTTCACTGCTTCAAAATTGAGGTCTCAATCCAGAGATTAAATGCCATAATATGTCCGTTGTTTCTGTTGTTCTCCTGACAGAAGTGAGAACTCATACCATTCCTCATACCATGAGGAACTCTATGTAAAGGGCCTCTGGATCTGCAGAAGTAGATCTCTGCGTCTTCCTGGAGAAGGGTTCACTTGATCTCCACCCCACAAACATCTCAGGATGTATAGAAATGAGATCAATATAACATCGCAAGTTCAACATTTCAACTTCAGTGGCTCAAAATGTCTTTATTTGGAATTGCATTGCAGTTCCAAAGCTGTTTATCACTCCAATCGCTAGTTTATGAGGAATAATGACAGGTATTTTATGGAGTGTAAAATGAGATAAGACGCTGTTTGTGTTTCTCCCAAAAAAGACTCTAGGCAATGAAAGATGCTTCTGGCAGCTTTGGTGAAGGGGAAGGAGGAGACAGACAGAGCTTCACCAGACGGACTACGCAGCCGGGGTCTCGATCACGGAGCCCATCTCTTTTGGGAATAGAAGGGCGACTACACAGCGAAAAAATGCTAAAAGAGGCTCTTGGAGATAATGGGAGAATTGAGCAAAACAGGAGACCAGGACTTTGCTGTGTTTCGGTGGTGGGGAGTGAATGAGACACTGATATATTTAACAAGGTGGCAGGAGAATTACATGAAGCCGTGTGATTACCAGAGTAAAGCCCTGGTTCCCCTGAATGGCCTGACCTGGAAGGACCGAACTGGAAGAGCGATCCTCTGATCTCCATCCAAGGAGCTTTTTCATCCAAAATGGATAAAAATGATTCTGAATTAATGAACCCCCCATGGGGGTGGGGGCACAGAGGAAGGAAAACAAGCAGCTGTGTGACTGCAGCCCCCCGGTTTCCGCAGAGTAAGACCCAACAACAGACAGGAGACACGTGCAGAAAGCGATAGGCTGGCCCCCTGCCTTGGTCACATGGTCAGTACCAGTAGGGGCAGGCAGCTTTACAAGCCCCTGTAGGGACTCTTGTGCACTAGGGCTGTTGTGTGGATTTTCACCAGAAGGTAACCAGTTCGAATCCCATGGTATCCTTGAACACTACTACACAAGTGAATATCAGTGAAATTACAGATGCTGTTGATAATTATCAACCCAACCTTGTCAGTCAATCAGCATCAGCGTACAAGCAAGTAAATAAGACAAAGACTCCAAATAAGGTATGTCATTAAAACTAAATGCGTTTCAGGTCTAATTTTATTCTGAGCAAATATGGGGGAAAGAAGTGTTCCAACAGAAACCACAGAAAATAATTTTCACTCGTTTGCGAAAATAAATGCAAAACCAGAAGAAGCAGGGTGACGCGTAATTGAACTTATTTTCATAACCCATGTAAATGGTCTCCGCGGTCATACATCAGGATACACATTTCAACTGGTGCCCATGCTCAGAAATCACAGCCAGGTTTAAAATGTAAAGAAAAAAATGGAACTTCTGGTTCCACTAGAGAGCACAGAGGCCATGTGGGCCCCAGACAACAGAGACGGGCAGAATTTGGAGGGAGGGAAGAGAGGAGCAGAAGGAGGAAGATGTCGATTCGAGTAACAGACAGTATGTACAATGACTTCAGATCTATATTTAATTACGTTCTGCCATTTGTGTGTATAAACACACGGACATATGACAGACTTATATAGACCTACGTACACTATTAATACTCACTTTGCGTTTCAGCATAAAAGGATAAAAACACATACGTCACAGAGGTGGGGTACCTCCAGGAGACTGTATAGGGCCCACCTCTGATCTATAGGACTCACGTACCTTACCCTCAGAGTGAGCTCCGTACAGAAAGCGTGTGTCGGTGAGGAACGCAAGCTCTGTGCTCTGGCTGCATCCACGGTTTAGCTTCACATTCACCATCATACGGTACATAGGTGGCGCTTTTCCACTGCCACCAGGAACCGAGCCGTACCCAGCCCGTGCGGCGTGCCTAAACCAAGCTGGTAGCGTCACCGCCATCTGTCAAAATGAACGGCGATGTCGGCGCTCTGCACGAGGATTCACTGAAGGGAAAACGTATATTTCATTCATTATTAGTAGTGTACTTGTGCATTCTAGAAAATCTAATTTAAAAACTACTATAGAACAGCTGAACGTAATGTTCGTAATCATAATGCAAATTTATGCATGCAGCTAAGTCCGCTAGCGTAACACTGCGATTCTCACAGACGGGCTAGCAGAAATTAGCATGCAATAAATTAATATTAATAATAATAATAATAATAATAATAATACATTTTAAAGATGACCGATACGATATTCCAGAATATTCGACGGATCGGGTATCGACCAACGTGACCGATCCACGTCCGATACTTACTTATTTTGTTTTCGGCAGTCTTTAAAAAGATATCTCCTATTTCGTGTTAAATCTATTTGTACAATCAATCGCACCACAGCTCTTTAACATTTTAGATGTTTTTTTGCTGCATGCAAACTGAAGGCTCAGTCTGTTTGCCACTCAGTGACGTGGCCTAGGGACTTCAGCCTGCGGTGACGTCATGCGCAAACCCTTAGCAGTACGAGGAGCGTAAGAACATCAGAAAATGGGTGGCGATTTGGAAGCATTTATGCTTTTAATAGCAACTAGTAGCACAGCGATTTTCAGTCGCTGTAAAAACAAAGTTTTGGGAGGTGAGAGAAGCGTTTAGTGGAAAATCCCACTAAAAAAAGGACAAGAATTGTCAGAGTCAACGCGAGTAATACGAACAAGCAATGGATGATTTGAGAGTCGCTCGCTTGGGCTGTTTTTTCGCACCTGCTACAGCTTGTGATACACGAGGGGATGCTATGGCAAGGAAGTGTAAGTGACGCTTACCTCAGTTAGGTTGTTTAGGCATTCACTACTTGCCTATCCTCGCTTGGGGGGATATTCAAAATGAACTGCAAAGTCCTCAAAAACGTGTACTGTTCCACCTCGTTTGTACGTAATGTATATTTCCAGTAGCCTAAGTAAATTTGTTTTGGCATACATTTTTCATCAGTATGTACTAGTATACTTAAAAGTACAGTATTTAAGTAAAAAGAGCTCTTGTATCAGAATCTGTATTGGTATCGGCAGTTGTGTATCGGAATCTGAAAAAATGTGGATTGGAATAATAATAATAATAATAATAATAATGCCCGGCGCGACCTTAACTGAGCCGACCCTTCAGACCCTGAAGAGAGCTGTAACCATGTTGTAACTACGCTGTAACTGCTTGGTACAGCTCGGTTCCTGTATGCCAGTGGAAAAGCGCCATTCCTCAGCTTTAATGGACACGGGCCCTTAAGTGCAGTTTTCAGCGCTACCAAACACAAATGCCAGACACTTCTGTTAGGGCTGAACATGGCTTTGTTTATCTTTCCTGCCGGATGGGACTGCCGCCTGCTGGAACGCCCTCTGCATCCACAACCTCCAGCTGAACACAGTCACTGAACACAAGTGTGGGTGCAGACACAAATAGACCACAGGAAGACATGCACACATGCACGCGCACAAAGTCCATGTATTCATATCTTTATGGGGACTCTCCATTCATTTCTATGGGGAAAAAAACTCTAATTCCAGCTATGAGAACCTTAACCATAAGTAACCACACAAAAGACCTTTGGCATTTTTAGTTGTTTGATTGCAGTCACAGATTTTTATAAAATTGAGTTTCCTCTTGTGGGGACCAAAAAAATGTCCCCACAAGGTAAAAAGTTACAGTCCCCACAATGTAACAATTACAAAAATGCATGCACAAATGCTGCATACACACACACAGACACATACACAGCTAGCAAACAGTCTTCGGTAACAAACCATTGGTGAAAAACGTTACATCCTTTCCATTCAACACTGTACAAAAGCTCATATATTATAAAAAGCAAACATTTAATAAATTAGACATACCGGTGAAGAAATGGAAGATACCAGATCCAGCATTTCAGATCATAGAAACAGACATTTAATTGCACGGATACGAAAAAAAATCATCTATGGTGTTTAATTAAAACTAGGTGTCAAGCTTCATCATTACCTACATGCAGACTCGCGTTAAGAAGGAGAAACAAAAAAAACAAAACAAAAGATTTAGTAGTAGTAACTCCAAAAATCCATATCTGACTCAAGTAAATGGCACTGACTTTTTGTTTGATTCTGTCAAAACACCAAAGCGTAGCAGATTACTGCCGCACACGAAACCCAACACGATGGTCGTTTAGGTCTCGGCTCTCTTAGGCTCAGCCACAAGAAGAACCTTTCATGCACAATACCCACATGAAAATCAATGTTTTTAAAAAAAACATTTCCAAAAATATATCCACAGTCTATCTTTGTGTACAAAATAAATTAAGTTGCTAAAAAGGAGTGCCTGAACTGGCTTGTTCATGCTGCCCTTGACCTATTGGCACTATTGCCGGTTCTCCCAAAGCCCAGATGATTCTTCTCCAGCCAGATCTCAGCCAGCTGCTGTGCTGACCCATAGGATGATGCTTTGGAGCCCAGACACATCTTATACTGCCTGGCGTCCAGGTTGGGGTCGCACAAGATGGGGTGATGTACATGCACTATACCAGTTTCTGTGCTCCGGAAAAGTCTGATCCCTGATTGGACGAATTTATTAAAGAGGTCCACATCCTCCATGCCCCAACCCTGGATGGACATGTCAAACCCCCCAGCCCCAACCAGGTCCTGCTTGTAGACACAGACGATGCCGAAACCAAAATGTCTCCACAGTCCTGTTTTGGAGGTGAAGACGTAATGGTTGTCGCTTGGAACCATCCCTGCGTAGACAACCTTGGGGTCATACTGGCTGAAGATGATGGGAAAGTATGTCTGCTGCCCCAGTATCGTGTTACTCCTACACCGGTTCAAGAAGTCGGCCGTAAAAAGCAGGTCAACATCACAGTAGAAGAGCAGAGAGTCGTTGGAGAAGTGGGAAGACCCCACCTCTAAAGCCACAGCCCGGGAGAATGGACCCGACACAGGCTGGATCTCCAGCTCCGCCTTAGGGTATCGAATGTGGTACTCCCTCATCAACTCAACTTGTTTCACCCGCTCCATGTCACTGTCCTCATTGAACAGCAGCACTAGCAGCTTGACATTCTGGTTAGGAATCAGGCAAACCTTCTCGAAATTTGCCATGAATCGGACAAAGATCTCATATCGACCTGCCAACGGTACCAGAATGTTGATCCTCTCTTCCTTCGACTCCTTGTGGTTGAAGTCGGTGCCGCCCAGGTTGAAAGGCACTAGCATCTTGAGGGAGTTGGAGAGGAATGTGAGGGAGCCCGAGTCCTGATTGATCCTGCTGGCCAAAGCTTGGGCATCAAGCTCCTCCTCCTCACGAAACTGGATCCTGCTGAAGGTTTGCTGGAGGTAAGCATGCCTCCTGACAGGGACCGTCATGGTCTTCCCCTTCTGCTTCTTGTAGAGCAGCAGCAGGTCCAGCACATACTCCGCCCCATAGACGGGGTTCACTCGCCGATAACCATACTGGATCTCCTTGAAGTCGATGATACGGCCACGCGTCTTGGCGTTAGCATTGATCATCTCCATCAACTGCATGACAATGTCCTCCAGGGCCGCCTTCTGCGGGGTCTCCATGCCACGGCGCGGTGGCTGCCCATCGGCTGCTGAGCAGACGTGGCGGCCTGTCAGGAAGTCCCACTCCAGGACGTCCTGCCGCCGGCGGGGCTGAAAGCGCATGAAGGAGGGGGCGGCGCCCAAATGCAGGTCCTCTTTGCGCAAGTCACCGGCGTTGCCACTGTAGCGGCTGGCCTGAACGATCTCGCGGTGCAGCCGCACAGTGCGGTGTCGCAGCTCTGCAATCTGCTGGCTAAGTAGGTAGCTGTGCAGCCGGTACTGGTGGGGTGGGCTCTTGTTGGGGTGCAGCGTGATGGCCCGGTGGATCTTGCTGTTGTGCAGGTCGCTGAGGTAGCCCTTCTTGTTGGGCTCGTAGTTTTCGTAGAACAGTTGCTGCATCTGGGGGGGCAAATCGGGGGTAGGGGAAAAAAAAAAAAAGAGAGTTTATTAAAAAATTATTAAGCAAACTATGTCTCAATACTCGGGTTCCATGGTTGGGGCAACAAGAAGGAAGTTTTCAACAGCCTAGAAACAACCGTCAATCTAGCCCAGTGGTTGCCAACCTGGTCCTTGGGGACCCGCAGACGGTTCATGTTTTTGCTCCCAGGAGCTGGCAGGGAGCAAAAACGTGAACTCTCTTTGAACTTGTTTTTAGTTGTTTCTATACCAGTCCGTGAAAATATTGTTTTACATGAAATTGGTTCATGGCGCAAAAAAGGTTGGGGACTGCTACACGCCTCCACACGTCTCTTAACACGCCCCCCCCCCGCACGTCTCTTAACACGCCCTTTTGCTTTCAAAGCAAACTTGGTATAAATATTTTAATCATATAAAGGAATGCCACTCCACTACCTTTAATATCTGGACTAAATCATCGTCTGGAAGCACTCCCAGTTACCAGAGTGTTCATTTAGCCCAGGAGCATGAGTAAAACCAGTGAACAGCAATGGTAGTAAAAGAGTGAGATAAAATTACTTAGAAAATGAACGGAATTAATAGAAAACAGGCTGGGTAATGTGGTTGTCAGAGGCACAGAATGGTACAGACAGACAGACAGACAGGTTTGTCTTCATATCTTTGTGTGGGCCGTCCATTCATTTCTATGGGAAAAACTCTAATCTCAACTATGACAACCTTAACCCCTACCCAGCCCTAACCTTAATCATAAGTAACCAAACTGAACAAAATATAAGACTTTTCACAATTTTAGTTTTGAGTGTATTGACAGATTTTTATAAAATTGAGTTTCCCCTTGTGGGGACTGAAAAATGTCCCTACAATGTCAAAATAAGTTATCATCACAAATGTCCCCACAATGTAATGCACACACAGGCTAATACCCCAGGTTTCCACATAGGGAATAATCCAGAATTAAGCCAAATGAAAACGTAATCTTATGCGACTCCCTGTGCGTGACTCCTTACACTCATCTGGATTTACGGGGCTCATATTTATGAGGCACAAATTAATGGCCACCCTTAAAATATTTAATGAAGGCACTTGGGTCCCCATGCCAAAGGACGCGATGGCCAGTGGGGGGGGGCTTCACAAAACCATCCCAAAATAAAAAAAATAAAAAAGCAAAACCAAACATGACAGTGACACGACTGATGAGACACAGAGGCACTCATTGTCTTCTATGTTTCGCATCTACCTCAGGGGCATTTTTCCTTGGAGCTATTTAAGGGGAAAGAATCTGGATTCCTCATTTAACTCAAACGAGGCAGGAAGCTGACACCCTTAATTTATCCTTTGTCCTGCACAGTCACTTCACAGGTGCTTTTAATAGATGACCAGGACCCACACATTCCTCTTCCTAAGCTACTAGTAGCTTAAAAACCTTCGGCCTAAAACTCTTTAACCATGTGTGTCCTCCTCATCCCCGAGGAACCATGTCCAGAAGACCCAGATCCTCACACCCAGGCGAACCACAGCTCCCTGGACCAGAGCCCCAGGACATCGATTCCTCCAAACAGACCCTTTTCAGTAGTTTCCCACTTTAAATAAGGAACCTTCCAGAGAAAGATAAGGTCGAGCGGATGTCCCTCCAGTATCGACTTACAGCAGCCATACACAGAGAGAGCCAACAGGTCCAGTTCATATGAATCAAGTCCTGCTGTCTCAAGCAGTCGGTCACCTGTAGAGATCAGAGCTTGGAAGCAAGGCAGCGGTCCGGTGAGGAATCCGGCACAGTGAGATCACAGGGGAATGTGGGGCCCTCGGGCCAAAGCTAACCAGGTACCTGACTGAGGTCCCTGGACCTGAAGGTAGATACCCTGATAACGTGCAAAAATAACATTCGTTTGCGTGACCTCAGATACTCACTATGTGCAAGTTCACCCTGAGGTAACTATGAAAGAAAATATTGAAAAGATACTAGCGGACAGTGGCTCAATTTCCTGTGGTTCTTGAGCAGTGCAGGCAGGAGGGAAGCTAAAAGTAAAGCTAATGTAAAGCTGAAAGTAAAGCTAATGTAAAGCTGAAAGTACAGCTAATGTGATGCTAATGTAAAGCTAAAACTGTTGCAAAGGTAAAAGTACAGCTAAAAGTAAGCTAACCTAAAGCTAAAAGTGAAGCTGTCGCAAAGCTAAAAAGCTAAAAGTAAAGCTAATGTCCTCTTCCCCCAAAAACCTCCAGCTCCTTACTGTACACCTGACTGCCAGCAGTCGTGTCCTCCTCCCCCTACACTCTGTCCAGCCCCCATCCTCCCTCCACCCTGCCACAGCTGAGTAACCATCACCCTCTCATCAGATCCACGAAAGGGAGCCTTAGGGGTGGAGAAGAAGTCCAAACGGAAAGCTAATAACAGACTGCCAGGCCTCTGGCTGCAATGTGTAACCGAAAGGGGTCCGGGCCAGAAAAAACATGCATTTATTGCTTAACGCATTGCACTTCTAAGACGCTGCACTCACAGCACAGCCTTGCTGCTTAATGAACAGGGGAATCTAGCTTAATTAGACTGTGTATCGATGAATATATGTCAATCAGTAATTCTGCTGGCTACTATGCATTGGACAGGAAGTGATGCGTGAAGGGTCAAAGGTCATGATGCAGCAGAAGCAGCCTGACGATCGGGAACCACATGGCACATGATGGCAAACCGTTGACTACAGCGCACCCTACAGGACGGCACTGCTCCGTGCGCAGCGGTCCGGCCTTGAGGGTGCCGGATGAACACATTTCCCTGTCCAGCCCGTGACAAACAGTAGCAGCAGGTCTGCAGCTCTCGGGGCCCAAATGGCTTCTTGTAAATTCTAGGCAATTTCCTAAACTAGGCGGAGAGCGAACGATTACTTGCAAAAACGAAGGAGAGCTGCCTACCTGGCTGCTGCCGACATGGAGAACAAACAAACACGCATCATTACCAATCAGAACTGAATAAGGACAGGGGAAAACGGAAAAGTAAAAACCTATTTTCACAATCATTAACGTTTCTCGGCCTGCCTGGAGGACAAACGGCGATTGTGCTGGCCGGGCCTTTTCAGAGCCCCTTTTCGAGGTCGTCTCTCGCTTTCTCAGACACATCTGCACCTCTGGCTCTCCGTACAGTCAGCGCGCATCAGAACCAGCCAGACGGAGCTAAACCGGGACAGCGCTGGCTCTGCCCACGCCCGTCTGACCGTGCCATGTGGCCATCGGCAGCAGAAGCCAGAATCCTGGCACTGCCAGGCCCAATTCAGGCCCCGCGCTGGCCAGGGCTGTCTGGCAAACGGCCGACCTCTCGTCTGTTTAACGTTTCCCGAAAGCCTGAATCCTTGGGCTCCATGCCCCGCTGCCATCTCTGACTCAGATCCACCAGCGGTTTTGCCGCTATGCTGTTCAGAAACACACGACTGACCAGCCTGAGTCTTAAGCGTTCGGGCAGGGATGCTCTGTCACAGCGCAAGATCATTCGGGGACAAGGTCAGAGCAGGAAGGACGTGGCCCATGGAGACCTCACTGGCCTGCCTGGAGAAGAACATCAAAGCATCCTCGGGGTGGCCAAGCTAGAAGTGGGATTAACAGGTTCATTAGGATAAGTCATGGGGAGACAACCAACATCGGGTTCTGGGATTCAGTGACAAATCTTTGCTGACATGGCCCCTAATTACCATCCCTATGAATAAGGGATTCATTTACCCCATGCACATTGTATTTGACATTGTGCTTCATGACATGTGCATTCAGGCATCAATCAGGGACTCCATGCATCAGCCACTGGCAAGTCATTCACAAAATGTTTAGTTATTGCAAAAGAATCTTCCTGGATTTGCTAGATTACTTGTAACACACACACACACAGACACACGCACACAGACACACGCACACAGACACACGCACACAGACTCGCATGCACCCACACAGACGCAGACGCACACAGACACACGCACACACAGACACATGTGCACACAGACACACGCACACAGACTGGCATGCACCCACACAGACGCAGACGCACACAAACACATGCACACAGACACACAAAGCCCTGAAGATTTAAAAGAACCGCAAAAATTTGAAAAGATTGAATATTAAAAAACTGGAATTAGCTCTTATGGAGAACATTAACAGAAGCATAGCTTGAAATGAGGTATAAACACTAACAGTATACAATTATACAGCCAAATATAATTCAGATATACAGCAATTACAGGGTGGATATTCCACCTCATTTAGGCTGGGCTCTTTCATCGGGGGGAGTGGGGGGGGTGTGTGATTCAGGGCAGCCTGATGGAATGACAACAAACCCCCCCCAACCCAAAAATTAACTGCGAAGCAAAGGGCTCTTTGTCTTCCTGCCGTTTCCCCATAAGGACTCACTTGTGCTGGGAGGGGGGGCCGGGTTCTCCGGGTCGGCAGCGCTGACAGCTGCCATGTGGAAGGCGGCTCTCGCGTTTCCAGGCCCTGGCACCGGTGCTGCGGCAGAGCCGAGCCCAAAGCCACGAGTCAGAGGGGGAAGTGAGGGAAGAGCAGCAAGGAAGCCTCATGTGCAGGAGCCCGCGGGGCGGATCCTAGCCCCCGCGCCGCCTCCGCCACTCCCGGGTCACCGGGTTCTCTTGGGAGGTGCAGATTTGCTGGATGACACCTCCTTTTCCTTTTCTCCTTCCCCACAAACTTTTCGGTGAGCTCATCCTTACGGAAGCCGCTATGGCGGTTAACCATCAAAGCGGAGCTGTTCACTTTACTGCCTCGCCCAAGGTCGTCTCAGTCTTGCCAGCCACTCAGATAAAAAATTCTCACTCGAGGCTGGAAAAGGTAAAAAGTGCCAGTTTGGCACAGGCAGCACAGGCAGCACAGGCAAGCACAGGCAGCACAGGCAGCACAGGCAGCACAGGCAGCACTGACATCACGTCCCCGGGTAGGATGGAGACCGGAGACCAAAATGGGAAGAGAAATGGCGGCTTATCCGAGAGCCGCTC